AAGCTATCACTAGGTCTTGTAATGATTTTTCAGATCACACTGAGTAAATAATGCATGAATATTCAACAGTTAACCATAGTTAACTCTGGAAGGTAAGATTATGTTTTTAATTTCTTGCTTACATATAAATTCTAAATTTTATAATAAATATTTAGTAACAATGACAATATTAATTATTTTTATTGAGTTTATTCTAGATGCCAGTCCTGGCACGCGTATATAATTTTCTTACAATAACGTTTAGAGATCGGAACTATAATTATCCCCCTTGCACAGATAAATAAACAAGGGCATTAGAGGGATTAAGTAATTTGTCAAGGACACACAGCTAAGTAAGTGGCTGAAAAAAAATTGGAACCTAGCTTTACCTGACTCTTAACCTGTTAACCGGGGAATAACCGGGGAATTCCCTTTTTACTGTATGCAACGTTTGACGTATTTATACTTCCCGCTCGGTTAACAGGTTAATCATCCCTCTTATAACAAAAAAACAATTTGTTTATTTTGTTGTTGTTGTTTATAGTGTGGTGTCCTGAAATTGATAACAGTATGCTAGGTTTGATCTGAACAGAAGAAAGTGTACTGCAATTATTACGTCCTTTGATCTGAACACTGTACAATCTAATGTCCGTAGGACTGTGATTGTTCACCTGTGATAGGAGATTATTGACTCATATTGATAAATTTTTATTTTTATCCTCACCCGAGGACATTTTTTTCATTTTTTGTTCAGATAGAGTAGGAGGGAGAGAGAGGAAGAGACAGAGAGAGAAACATCGACATGAAAGGGACACATCGAGTGGCGGCCACCCACACGACCCAACCAGGGCCGGGGACAAATTGCAACCGAGGTACGTGCCCTTAGCGGGAACCAAGCCCGGGTCTCTCCAGACCTCAGGCCGACGCTTTAACCGCTGAGCCAAACTGGTCAGGGCATATTGACTCATATTGAGCTTTCAGAAAATCCTTTGGTTCTTATTTTCTTTTTCTTTTCCTCCTTGACTCACTCCCTCTTCTCCACTCCTCCTCTGTCACCCCATCAGCTCTTACACCTCTAGCAATGATTTTATCATCCTAGCTGTTAACATTTTTCTCCATGCTCATATAGTCACATATAGACAAGTAACAAATACACACATATGCAGTACAGATATTTTTGTCATTTAAAAAGTGACTACATTTTTGCCTTTTTTAATTAAAACAGTTTCTTGTGTAAAATCTCTCTAAGTAAACTGGTAGAGTACAAATTCATTCCTTTTAATGGATGTTCCAAAGTGTGGATGTACTATAATTTTTGCAGTCATTCGCCGATTAATGGGTATGCATAGTATTTTCAATTTGTGTATGTGTTGCCACTTACAATGCTCCTCTAATAAATATCTTTGTACATATGTTTCACGATGTTTTTACTTCAATGGTTTTATTGAAACTAGTGATTTTATTTCAATAGAATAGATTCTCAGAACTGAGAGATTGCTGTGTCAAGGGATACAAATATTTTTAAAACGAAATTTTTTATTGCCCTGGCCAATTTGTCTCAGCAGTTGGAGCGTCAGCCTGTGGACCGAGGAGTCACAGGCCCAGTTGTGGTAGGGGCCATGAGCCTCCGTTGCTGTTTGGTCCCTAGCCCTGGTCGGGGTCGTGCAGGGGGAAACCGATCAATGTGTCTCTCACATCGATATTTCTTTATCTCTCTCTATCTGAAAATAAATGGAAAAATGTTCTTGGTGAGGATTATAAATAAATAAATAAATAATTTTAGGGAGAGAGGAAGGGAAAGGAGGAGAGATTAAGAATCATGGATGAGCTGCCTGCTGCATGCCTCATACTGAGGATCGAGCCTGCAACCCGGGCATGTGCCCTGACTAGGAATCGAACCAGTGACCTTTTGTTGCATAGGACTACACTCAGCCAACTGAGCCACACCAACCAGGCTAAATATTTGTAAATGACAGCTGATGCAGATTGCTTTCCTTTTTTTTTTTTATCCTCACCCGAGGACATTTTTCCATTTTTTGTTCAGATAGAGTGGGAGGGAGAGAGAGGAAGAGAGAGAGAGAGAAACATCGATGTGAAGGTGTGAAGGGACACATTGAGTGGCTGCCACCCGCACGACCAACCAGGGCCGGGGACAAACTGCAACCGAGGTACATGCCCTTAGCGGGAACCGAACCCTGGTCTCTCTGTACTGCAGGTGGACGCTCTAACCGCTGAGCCAAACCGGCCAGGGCTTCATTTTATATTTTAATCACAGCACATGAAAATACCCTTTTCCCCACATCCCTGCAGCAGTAATACATTTAGCAACTATTCTAATTAAATCCCTATGAAACAAGCAATCTAAGGAAACCACTTACATAAAATAAAGATTATTTACTGTGAATCAATAACAGTTCTAATCCTAACTGGCAAAATAGTAGAACTTTAATTCAAAATCAGGAACTACATGTTGAGCTGTTAATTACATACATCTCCCAGGTCTTTTTTACTCTTTTTTTTTTTCTTTACCCGAGGACATATTTTCATTTTTTGTTCAGGTAGAGTGGGAGGGAGAGAGAGAGAGAGAAACATCGATGTGAAAGGGACACATCGAGCGGATGCCACCCGCACGACCCAACCAGGGTTGGGGGACAAACCGCAACCGAAGTACATGCCCTTAGCAGGAACTGAACCGGGGCCTCTGGAACGCAGGCCTGACGCTCCAACTGCTGAGCCAAACCAGCCAGGGCTACTCTTAACTTTAAATTTATGTATAACACACATGTAAAAGTGTGCCCAAATCATAAGTACACAGATGAATGAACTACTGCAAAATAAACACATCCATGTCACCACCACTCAGGTCAAGAAATAGACATTACCACCACCTCAGAAGCCTTCCTCATTCCCCTTCCCAATCATTGCCCCCTTTTTCCTTCCTCAAGAATAGTTTTGCTTGGCTTTGAAATAAACAGAAATAGAATCATGTAGGCTGTACTCTTTGTGTGTGTGTGTCTGGTGTATTTTCCTCAATGTTATCTTTGTGAAGTTTCTCCATGTTGCACATAGCAGTAGTTCACTTATGTTTATTGCTGCACAATAGTTCACTTTATGAATAGTGTACCACAGTTAATTACCCATTCTATTTTTATTTTATTTTTTTTATCCTCACCCAAGGACATTTTTGCACCTATCCTCAGATAGAGTGGGAGGGAGAGAGGGAGGACGAGAGAGAGAGAGAGAGAAACTTCTGTGTGAAAGAAACACGTCCAGTGGTTGCCACCCATACGACCCCAACTGGGGCCAGGGACAAACTGCAACCGAGGTACGTGCCCTTAGCAGGAACCGAACCTGAGAGACGCTGACGCTCTAACCGCTGAGCCAAACGGGCCAGGGCCCCATTCTTCTTCTTTTTTTTTAACAGAGAGAGAGAAACATCGATGTGAGAGAAACACATCAACTGGTTGCCACCCATAGGACCCCAACTGGGGCCGGGGACAAACTGCAAACGCGGTACATGCCCTTAGTGGGAACCGAACCCAGGACTCTCTTGTCTGCAGGCAGCTGCTCTAACCGCTGGGCCAAACTGGCCAGGGCCCCCATTCTATTTTTAATGATTTTCAGGGCCTTTTGAATCCAAAACCTGTGATCCAATATATTAGCCACCAATACTCCCAGCGTTGTACCACCAGAAATTTAGATGATTGCACCATTTCTTTCTACACAAATCATGGACTTTTACCCCTTTGACAGGACCAGACTTGTGTCAACCAACCAGAGATCTCCCTGCAAGTTAACCTTAATACCTTAATAATATTTGGGCAAGATGCTCAGTTAGCTAAAACGATAGGTATTTGTAGTATCGTTGAACATACATTTCCATATTTTGTCCAAATCAAATTTAACAAATATTTATGGAAGGTCTACTATGTTCCAGGCACAGCCTGGGGATAAAGCAGTGAACAAAATAGATCAGATCAACACCCTCATATGGAATTTACATTCTAGTTGATAAGATGCAGGTAAACAAAAAATAATTTAGATAATTTTACTTAAGTGCATAAGGACAATGGAAAAGGACAACACCATAGAGAGTAATGAGGAGGGAGGCAGACAACTTTATTCTTTTTATTATTATTTTAAATTCTCACCTGAGCATATTTTTTAAATTGAATTTAGAGAGACGAAAGGAGAGAGAGAGAGAGAGAGAGAGAGGAGAAACATCAACGTGAGAGAGAAACATTGATTGGTTACCTCCCATATGCACCCTGAACAGGGATTGAACCTGCAACCTAGGTATGTGCCCTGACCAAAATCAAACCCATAAACTTTTATTTATTTATTTATTTATTTTTGTTACAGATGTTTCTCCTTTTCCCCCCACTGATTCCCCCCTTCCCCTCCCTCTCCACCCTGTCCCTAGCTTTGTTGTCCATGTCCATTGTTCATGCATGTAAGTTCTGTGGTTTATCTCTCCCCCCTCACCCCCTCTTCTGGGATTGTCAGTCTGTACCCCACTTCCACGTTTCTGGGTCTCCTCCATTCCTCAGATTGTTATGTTCATTATATTTCAGAAATAAGTGAGATCATAAGATACTTTTCTTTCTCTGTTTGGCTTGTTTCGCTTAGGATGATACTTTCCAGGTCCCTCCATGTCATCTCAAAGGAAAAGAGGTCTTTCTTTCTTACCGCTGCATAGTACTCCATTGTGTATATGTACCACAGCTTTTTTATCCATTCATCAACTGATGGACATTTGGGCTGTTTCCAGATCTTAGCTATTGTAAATAGTGCTGCTACGAACATGGGGGTACATATATTCTTTCTGATTGCTGTTTCAGGCTTCTTACGGTATATTCCTAGAAGTGGGATTACTGGGTCAAATGGCAGTTCAATTTTTAATTTTTTGAGGTAACACCATATTGTTTTCCATAGCGGCTGCAGCAATCTCCATTCCCACCAGCAGTGTACTAGAGTCCCCTTTTCTCCACACCGTCGCCAACACTTGTTGTTTGATGATTGGTTGATGGCGGCCATTCTAACAGGTGTGAGGTGATCCCTCATTGTTGTTTTAATTTGCATCTCTCTGATGCTTAGTGATGTTGAGCATTTCTTCATATGTCTCTTAGCCATTTGTATGTCCTCTTTGGAGAGGTGTCTATTTAGTTCCTCTGCCCATTTTTTAATTGTGTTCTTTGTCTTCTTTTTGTTGAGTTGTATGATCACTCTATATAATTTGGAAATTAATCCCTTATCTGATATATCATTGGCAATTACACTCTCCCATACACTGGGTTGCCTTTTCATTTTGAAGATTGTATCTTTTGCTGTGCAGAAGCTTTTGAGTTTGATGTAGTCCCATGTGTTCATTTTCTCCTTTGTTTCTGTTGCCTTAGGTGATATATCAGTGAAAATTCTGCTGCATATGATGTCTGAAATTTTGTTGCCTACATTTTCTTCTAGGATTCTTATGGATTCATGACAAACCCATAAACTTTTGGTGTAGGGGACGATGCTCCAACCAACTAAGCCACCCGGCCAGGGTGGGAGGCAGACGACTTTAGAAGGACCTAGCCTTGTGAGACTGACAGCATAACAGACAAGGGGAACAGCAATTGCAAAGGCCCTGAGAAGGGGCAGAACTTCAAGAAACAAGAAGGCTAGTGAACCTAGAGCAAATTGTGAACAGAAGCAAGTGGAGGAGAGGTAGACTGGAGTCAGATCATTTAGGATCTTGATGTCCTAAACTTTTTTTTTTTAATATGTTTTTATTGATTTTTTTTTTCTTAGAGACAGAGGAAGGGAGAGAGAGAGAGAGAAACATCAATGTGAGAGAAAAACATTGATTGGCCGCCTCCTGCACGCCTGGGGGCTGAGCCCGTAACCTGGGCACTTGCCCTAACCAGGAATTGAACTGGGACCTCTCAGTCCATGGGACGACACTCAGTCCACTGAGTCAACCCTGCCAGGCTTGATGTGGGATCACCTCACATCTGTTAGAATGGCCGCCATCAACCAATCATCAAACAACGAGTGTTGGTGAGGGTGTGGAGAAAAGGGGACTCTAGTACACTGCTGGTGGGAATGGAGATTGCTGCAGCCGCTATGGAAAACAATATGAGAATCTAAATGAGATGCATTAGGTGATGCAGCACCCAGAGTTCCCTTTAAGAAGGGACTTAAGGCCCCACCTTGAAGAGTGTGGTCAGCAGACAGCCTTGAGCTGACAGTTCTTTCAGGCTCTGCTTCAGCTGCAGAGAGCCTTGCTGCCTGAGGACACATTCTTCATGGGCCGGCCACATCTGGACCCGAGTGCGGCATGTGGAGCGGTGTAAAGGCTCCACCATTTTGATCTGGTTTTGGACATTTCTGACTGACAATACTTGTTTCAGAGCTCCCCGATGGGTTGGCTAAAGCTTTGTTGGGTCTGTCTGTACCACTATGATTTCTAACTTTGTCTAATCCTGTTTTCTCCTCTTTCCTTTTATAGGTGTCAAACCCTAATCAACATCTTGGATCCCAAACTTGGTCTCCACATCTGTGGAGAACCCAACCTGTGACAAATGGGAAGCCATTGAAGGGTTTTAAGCAAATAATTCAAATGAAATGATTTCATTTTTAGATCACTCCAGTGGCTTTATAGAAAATGGACTGTAGGCCCAGCTGGTGTGGCTCAGTGGACTGAGCTTCGTCCCATGGACTGAGAGATCCCAGTTTGATTCCCAGGCAGGGCAAATGCCTGGGTTGCAGGCTCAATCCCCAGGTCAGGGGTGTGTGGGAGGCAGCTGGTTGATGTTTCTCTCTCACATCGATGTTTCTATCTCTTCCTTCCTCTCTCCATAAAAAGTCAATAAACACACACACACACACACACACACATATATATATATATTTTTATCCTTACCCGAGGACATTTTTCCATTTTTGTTCAGATAGAGTGGGAGGGAGAGAGGGAGGAAGAGAAAGAGAGAAACATCAACATGAAAGGGACACATCAAATGGCTGCCTCCCACACCACCCCAACCAGGGCCAGGAACAAACCGCAACTGAGGTATGTGCCCTCAGTGGAAACCGAACCCAGGTCTCTCTGGACTGCCAGCCGATGTTCTAACCGCTGAGCCAAACCAGCCAGAGCAAAAATCTTATTTTTTCTTAAAAGAAATAAAATGGACTGTGGGAGGCAAAAGAAAAAATTCTGTGGCCCTGGTGAGAGATGGTGTGTCCTGCTTAGGGAGGAGCCAGCAGGTAGAGGAAAGTGGGTGTATTTTCGATAGAATTTAGTTGTAGAACTAGGTGTAAGTGTTGTTTTTATATTCTAACGATTTTTTAAATTAATTTTTAGAAAGAGAGGAAGGGAAATGGGGGGAGAGAGAGAAACATCGATGCACACAGCTGCCTTGTGCTTGTGCCCTGACAGGGAATCGAATCAGCAACCTTTTGGTGCATGGATGATGCCCAGCCAACTAAACCACACTGGCCAGGGCCCAAGTGGTTTTTTTTTTTTTTTTCAATGCATTTCACCTTCTTATGCTTTTCCTGTTGTCTGTAATTTTTATATTTTCATTTGTGGTTTACAGTCATTGGCAATTTCTTCCATTATGTTTTAGTATTTAGGATTAGAGGTCTTGATTTGTTCAAAGTGGCAAAATATATTTATCTTATACCTCTGTCAAGTTAAAAATTTCTTACCTATATTTGGTCTTCCTCTTCCAGCATGAAAATGATCATTTTTTTCTTTTTTATTGAGATATAACTCACCATCAAATTTACCTTTTAAAAAAAGTATCTTGGTGAGGAAGATGGAAAGAAAAGTGCACCTTATATGGTTCATCAGCAGACATGTTACAGCTTTCTAGAAGCAATGGTCTCTTGCCATCTTCAAAGGATGATCTGGGCTTCAAAGCCAAGGTAAGGAGGGAGAGCAATAGTGAGAGCAGATAGATAGTGGCAAGAAAAAAGCAAGGCGTAGACTTTGTCTAATCAGAAAGGGGTAGTGAATTCCTTTCAACAATTTTTATCTTATAACTAGTTTGTCATTCCTTATTCACAGTCATTTATCAAGTTTCATAGGCAGACTTGGATATACATTCTTTTTTTTTTTTTTTATCCTCACCCGAGGACATTTTTCCATTTTTTGTTCAAATAGAGTGGGAGGAAGAAAGAGAGAGAAACATCAGTGTGAAAGGGACACATCGAGTGGTTGCCACCTGCACGGCTGGGGACAAACTGCAACCGAGGTACGTGCCCTTAGCAGGAACTGAACCTGGGTCTCCCTGGACCTCAGGCTGACACTCTAACCACTGAGCCAAACCGGCCAGGGCTACATTCATTTTTTTATATATAGTTTTTAGTTTATGCCACCCAAGTCCATCATTTTAAAAAATGTTTTTATTAATTTTTAGAGAGAAAGGAAGAAGGAGGGACAGAGAGAGAAACATCCATGTGAGAGTGAAACATTGATCGGCTGCTTTCTGCACGCCCCCCACCAGGGATGGAGCCCACAAACCCAGCATGTGCCAGGATGGGAAATTTAACTGGCAAGCTTTCAATGCACAGGACTTTGCCCAACCAACTGAGCCACACCAGTCAGGGCCCCACGTCCATTCTGAGAGCTGCTTCTGCTCTAGGCATTGTTACCTTTAGAGAGTCTGTGTAGTAGCATACATATGTAATACATACATATTAAAAAATATAATCACATCCGAAAGCAAATATAAAATTTTGCTGTAAATTTTGACAGAATTTTGTATAACTTTTATTTTGAAATTAATAAGTAATGCTTAATTTATACTTGGTTACCATTGGTCAAAAATTATCATATAGCCCTGGGAGGGTGGCTCAGTGATTAGAGTGTCGGCTTGCGGACCAGAGAACCCTGGGTTTGGTTCCCGCTAAGGGCCTGTACCTCGGTTGCAGTTTGTCCCCGGCCCCAGTTAGGGTTGTGTGGATGGCAACCACTCGATGTGTCTCTCTCTCATTGATGTTTCTCTCTTTCTCTCTTCCCCCTCTCTCCCTCCCACTGTAGCTGAAGATAAAAGCAAAAATGTCCTCCAGTGAGGATAAATAAATAAAAGAATCATCCCTTAGGATGTGGTTTGTAGTAACAAATTCAATAGGGGACTCTGGGAGTCAGTAAAGACTGAGAAGAGGCGTTTGAATCCACACATTCAGGAGCAGATTATGGCCCCTAATTACAATTTCAGTAGATACTAAAACCAAGTTAAGAGGTGAAGATAAATGCCCATGCAGTTCATATTAGAGGAGTTTGCCAAAGACAGGTAGAAACAGGACAGAATCTTTAAAGAACAATAATGCTGGGCAAAGTCTTAGTTTCGTGTTGGAAAGACACAGACAAAACAGGTGTAGGCTCCCCCGCCCCCGCCCCCGGCTATTTTGGTTGTAAACCTAAAGAAGACCAGATTAACAGTGGAGAGTTGGTAGCGTTGTAAGAGAGTTTCTCCACCTTTTTCTTTTCACTTCTTACAAAGGGGAGTAAAGGCCAAGAGTCTTCATGAATTATGCTCCTGAGAGGTCAGAAACGGCATTGGGAAGAGGAGAAAGGTGGTCAGTTGTAAATCCCTCACATTTCACCTGCAAGCAAAACCTGTTTGTGTCAAGCTGGCTCTTCTGGAAAATATGGGGCCGTGGGAAAAGGAGTTACACTTCAGATCCTGAAATCAGATTTGTTTCAGTGAGGGACCCTTAGAGCTTTCCCAGAAGGCTGTTTGTTGTGAGGTAGAGAGTGGAGAAAACAAAATCACTGGAAGAAATAACAATTAGGTGGATGAACAGATATGCCTTTAGGTAAAACTACTCAGTTTACAGTTACCCGTTTCCCGTGTAGTTCTGGAAGTAGTATTCCCATCTTTGCTTACTGTAAGGATTATCCCTCATGAGAGGAATTTCCTCTTAGGCCCAAGGGAAAGGTGGTGCCAGACCAGTGCAGATCTATTTTAGACAAAGCTTCACATCTTTCCACACTTCTCAAATCATACCATGTAAAGAGCATTCTTCTCTAACACCTAAAACCTTACTGCTTAGGTTGAATCAAGGTCTTCCAGATACTTTAGGGTGGTCAGGCTGACGGGGGGTAGGGGTGGGGGGTCAGAGGAGGGAGAGAGTCATTTTCATGTTATATCTTTTGTAGCTTTCATGTTATATATTTTGTATTATGAACACGGACTGTTTTATTCAAAAAATTAAGCTGTTATTTTAAAGATTAAGGTCAAGAAAAGAAATTTTGGGTTTTGTTCTCTGGTCAGCATATACTTCATTTGAGACCTTATTTGTTCATTTGATTTATGATTTCATAGCGTGACGTTTTAGTTTAGGGACCTCTTCCGGCAAACCGCACCCCCAACTCAAGTTAAGGAATCTTGTCTAAACAGGTCAGTTTATGTGTGCTGTGTCTTTTTCCACTGCACTTTTGTTTTTCATCAGCAAACAAAACATCTTGTTAAACACACAGTGTCTCTTCAGACTTGAGATCTGAATCACAGGCAGATGCCAACCCTGCTGTTCAGTAGCTGTGTGACCTTGCAGATCATATAAAACTTTCTGGGGAAGTGCAGGCAGAATAAAGGGGGTCAAATATAGGGTGCCAGAAGATCTGACTTGGTGTGGTGGGCACACAATGCAATAAAAATACAGATGATGTATCATAGAATTGCACACTCAAAACCTATATAATCTCATTAACTAATGTCGCCCCAATACATTTAATTAAAAAAAGACAACTCTGGGATTCAGTTTCCTCATGTGGGGCTATGGAAGGTGCACTCACTAGGTCAGGAGTCTAAGGGTTCAACTTCTGGTTCTGCTACTTTGTTGCTGTCCTATCCTGGACACGCCTGGCCCGTGAGCTTCGGTTTCTATAATGGAGACAAATCTTATTATCAGGGAGATTGGGAAAGTGAGATGAGAGATGTAAAACGTGTCCAGGACACATTAGTTGTCAAGCCATGTTAGTGTCTTCTCTTTCCTCTCCACCTTCTTCTTTATGGTTTTGTTTTGTTTTCTTTTAACTTTGTAAAGCCTGCCTCACAAAGAGGTAGATCCTCTACCTCTCAGAGTGCTTTATAAACTGGGGAGGAGAATATGTGGTTGGTTCCTCACCAGGCAGACAGGGGCCCAGGTTGTGAATTTTTCTGACCTCTCTAAATTGTCCTTGAATGTCACAGGAGAATCTGTTTTCTAGATGGAGATTGGTTCAGCTTTTCCAGGAGCTCCACCCAAAGCATGCTGGGACTTGGAGCTTCCTTCCGGAAGTCCTCCCATCATTACATCACTACCACATGGGGTTCAGCGTCAGGAGCTCCTGGGTATTGCTTTGAGGAGCCACCTGGGTGCTGGCTTACTCCCTCAGGGCAAGAGAAGCTGCTCAGGCTTTTAAAACACAATTATTAAAACCCAATTCACACATGGAAGCCAAACTGATGAGGATGAAGATGTTACTAATAGTAATAATAACTACTACTAATAATAATGATAATAAACCACACCTGCTCATCACTCTGTGTACTGTGATCTGGGAAAAGTCAGAATGCATTCAGCCCAGTACTTAATCTAATTATTACAGATTTTATTGCATGTCTATCTCCTCTGAAGTTTTGCTTCTACAGGCACATCTAGGTGTAAAATAAAGTTCTGGCCCTGGCTGGTTTGGCTCAGCGGTTAGAGTGTCAACCTGTGGTCCAGAGAGACCCGGGTTTGGTTCCCACTAAGGGCATGTACCGAGGTTGCAGTTTGTCCCCGGCCCTGGTTGGATTGTGCAGGAGGCAGCCACTCGATGTGTTCCTTTCACATCGATGTCTCTCCCTCTCTCCCTCTCTCTCCCTCCCACTCTATCTGAACAAAAAATGGAAAAAAGTCCTCAGATGAGGATAAAAAAAGTTCTGAATTATACACACTAAGAGAAGGGAAAAGAGAAGACAGCCTAGAAACTAGTAATTTAGTCACTTTAATTAGTTTAGAAGTAAGCCAAAGGTATAAGTAGAAATTTAGAGGAGTTCATTAAGGTACTTAGTTCTGCCACTCAGTGGATTAGTCACCTTTATCCAACTAGCTCAGCGGTTACAGCATCAGCCCTCGGACCAAAGAGCATTTGATTCCTGGCCAAAGGCACATACCTTAGTTTTGGGTTTGAGCCCTGGCCCTGATCAGGCTCATGTGGGAGGCAACCAATTGATGTCTCTCTCACATTGATCTCTCTCTCTCTCTCTCTTTCCTCCCTTCTACTCTATCTAACAAAATCAGTGGAAAAATATCCTTGGGTGAGGATTAAAATAATAATAATAAAATAAACATCCCTGGGCCTCAAGTTTCCCTGTTCTTAAGATGAGAATTGGTGAAATAATATCTAACACTTCTTAGCTACAACTTTCCTAGGCCAGATGCTTACAGATTGAAATTCCTCGGGGTCAGCCCTGGTCTCTTCTGTAGACAAGGGGAAGGTGAGTAAGTATCCTAGTTTTAATAGAGCAACTAGCATATGTCAGACGCTGTATGAGGGATTTTATGTACATTAATGTACACATTGATTTCTAGCAACAGAATTGCTCTGTTAATTTAACTAGTGGTCTTCAAACAGGTAGGCACGCAAGTCAGTGGTACCATCACAAGAAAAAGTAATCAATAGGCAAAGAAGTGTGTGTGTATAAGTTATATTTATAAGTACAATTACTATAAATAATTTATACGTATATAACTTACATGTTTATGTATGGTGCATAATTTAAATTTTACATTAGAGGTGTAAAATCTTTATTTTATTATTATTATTTTAAATTCATTTTTACTGATTTTCTGAGAGGAAGGGTGAGGAAGAGAGAAAGAGAAACATTGATCAGTTGCCTCCTGTATGCCCCAACCTGAAACCTGGGTATGTGCCCTGACAAGAATCGAACCAGTGACCTTTTGGTGCACAGAATGATGCTCAACCAGCTGAGAGCCAAACTGGTCAGGGCTTTGGGTGTAAAAATTTTAAGAGAGTTGAGACATTATCCTAGACTCTAGAAGTAAGATAATCACAGTTAACATGTCAGATATTTTACTTGGATGTAAGTTAGAGTTCATAATATGTCTAAATCAAATTTCATGTATAAATTACAGGTGAATTGTTTCTCAATTCCTTCCTCCCCTCCTCCCCACCTTCTTTCCTTCCCTACTTAAAAGATTTACACATGTAATTCAGTAAATCATTCTCACTGTGAAAGGGTCCAAGTACACAGAGCAGAGTTCTGCGCCTTCTCTACCCTGCCCTCCTCCCAGCCCCCAACCCTCACCTGACTCTCACTCACCCTCGTCCTCTCACCAGAGATAATCACAGGTATTACCATTTTGCTGTGTTCTGGGCCATTTTCAAATTAAAGTTTCATTTTACTAACCTTCAGTTGTTGCCTTAAGAAAAAAGAGACTGGAAAATGTGAGGAGAAAGATTCAGTAACTATGAAACATTTTAGGCAGGACACTTCAAAATTCAAAAGACAGCCCGCCGGTGTGGCTCAGAGGGTGAGCGTCTTCCCACGCACCAAGAGGTGGCTGGTTCCATTCCTGGTCACGGCACATGCCCAGGTCCTGGGCTTGATCCTCAGTAGGGGACATGCAGGAGGCAACTGATTGATGTTTCTGTCTCTCTCTTTCCCTTACTCTCTCTAAAAATCAATAAAAACATATTTTTTAAAAAATGGAAAGGGCAGAACTGGAAGTAGAATCGCATGTGGTTTCCAGTGCAGGGCGTCAGGCCACCTCCACCTCGGTAAATACTGCTGACTGCCTGGGCCTGGCTCCGGCCCGCCTGCCAGAGACAGCCAAATACAGGAAACCTGACAAATCACCAGCATTTTCCACTCATTTATTTTTATTCTTTATTACTCACCAGTGTACCCTGATAATGATTTAGGAATAGGAGTTTCTCTTTATATACAGTAGCAAGGACATATTTTCTTGCCTATTTCTTTTTGAAGGGACAGTTTCAAGGACATGTTCAGGCCTGGTCAGAGAATGTTACATCAGAGATACTGCTGCTATATTTATCCCCACTTGCCTTTCAAGCAAAGCAATTTGTATGATGAAAAACAGCAGAGACAGACTGTCCAGGTTATCCCCAGAGAAGAAAAACATTGAATTTTAAAGCTGTGTATGATTTTACATTGCAGTAAATTTCTCTGGGGCTAAATTTCCTCTTCCTCCTTAATTTTTAAAAATTCTCACTGGGGAATCAAAGTTCTAGCCATGTTTGTAATTTTGTTTTCTTATTTGTTTAAGAAAATAAATTGAAATTCACATTTATTAAAAAATTCTCTTTTAGGAGACAGTTAAAGACACTTATTACCTCATCCCAGGCCTAGAGACTGGCAGTTGCTATTCAGGATTTAATCCATTCCAGGCTGTCACCATGGCCTTAAGATGAGAGAGACTAACAAGAGAATGACAAACAGAGTTATCAATGATTTGCTTTGTCTGGACGTTTCTATATTGGCTTCTGTTGCACTCTCGTCCCCAACCCCCTCTGGACCAATTGTTTTTCTTTTCCAGGCCTCAGTTTCCTGCTCAGTAAAATAGGAAGAATCAAGTAGGAAAAGAAATATGAATAAGGTCTTGAGGGGGAAGGCAGGGTTATTCAGCTGTGGTTCAATTCAAAAGTCACTTTCTGAGTGCAAATGCAGCGCTGGTCAGTACCATCCAGAGTAAGACTTTGTATCTATCCTTAAGGAGTTAACAATCTGATAACTGGTTAACAAAACAAAACAAATTTACAAAGAACTTTAACCCTCAAGCCCAAATTTCAGATGAAAGAATGTTGAAGGAGTTCGAGGATTAGGGGAAGCTCCAAAGGGAGCAGTGGCGTTTGAGATGGGAGGGAAGAGAGGGTGGTCCAGATACAGAATAGAGAAGAAAGAAAGGTGTGGAGGAGCCAGGCTCAGGATGAGTTCAGGGGACAGTGAGTACAGCAATCGGGCACATGTCAGAGAGGAATGAGTGATCAATTGGGTTCATTTTGGAGAGGTTATATGAAGTCTGTGCTTAATTCCATAGGTATCACAGATGCTCAGTTGAGGAACGACTTGATTAGTGCTTTAAGGCAATTTCTGTGGCAGTTGTGGTAGTGGAGGGCACATATTGGAGGGATAAAAGGAACAGGTGCTTGAATGAGGGTGATGTTGTTGTCGGTGGAAGTGGGATCCTAGCAGTGTTGCAAGAAAAGCTTTTTTGGGGACCCACAAGGGAGAATAAGGTTTGGTGATAAGATATATTTGTGGTGCCAGATGCAAAATCAAAGGAGTCCCCTGGGTTCCCAGTGTTCCATCTCCATCCATCCCACATGGAAAAAGTCCAATCCTACCTTCGTCGGGCCCAGAAACGGCCAGTGTCCAGAGATTCTGTGACATGCCAAGGCTAGTTCAGTTCAGTCTTTCTCTCCATCCAGCTAGCTTAGTCTGTGTTCCCAGCTGCACTTTGGCTGGTGCTGTGTTCAGGCCTGCACTTGGAGCCCGCATGGTCTGCCAAAGGCCACAGGGGGCTGCTAGGGCCACATGGCCATTTGGTAGAGAACATGCAAATAAACCCAGCGAGCACATTTGGTGGGGTGGAGAGCGGAGAGAGCTAGAGAGAGGAAGCTCTTTGTTAGCTGGGATTATATTATCTCTGGCTTGGGAATGACTAGTTTTTTCAGCCAACTTCCCAAGCTTTCCAGGCTTCTGATGGGTCCACCTCCTAACCAATCTATTCTTTTCCCAGGCTAGGCTAGGCCTCTGTGGTCACCATTTTGGCTCCTACTGCGCATGTGCTTACCTCCCCCTTTATTCTATTCCTCCCCCAGTGAACTGCAGGGAAAGACAGGTAGTTCTTTGGGGAGTGTGTGAAGCTATAACTTCCTAGGGAAGCAAGCCTATGCTCCCTAGTTGATTTTACTTAATAATGTCTGATTTCCTTTGCTCTCTTCCTTTATTAATATCTAGATACCTAACCTAACAATGGCAGAGCATCACAAAGTGTTCCTTAATTAGTTACCTGCAGTGAATCTCTGTATCAAATGCTGTTAAAGGGAGAACTTCCCTCCTGGCACTTACGTATTCAATATTTATCCTTACTCATATCTGATTTGGGTGGGTCTTTTTTTCCCAAACATGACCCCTGGCTCCCTATTAGAGGGTGAGCTTCCTGAGAACAGGGCCTTTATTTCACCTTCTT